TAGGTAGTTGTGTAAAAAGCTCCTGCACGTATCTGGTATTCTTGTGTGGTCCAACCGTGCCTCTTCGCCTGGGTGCTTGCGCTAAGGTTTGAGACAGAGCATGCAAGGGCAGATGTATACGGTACGCTCCTAAGTCTCAACCGGGATTGAAATATGGTCCCTTAGCATTTCATGCCGTCATAGTGACCTCTCGCAGTAAGACTACTGTGAGGGTGGCTTCCGTATCGTGGCTTTGCTTGAAAGCATGACCACTGTTGAGGTGCCACGTCAGCCATTTCTGTCCTGATATCTCATTTCTGTTGCCGTGCAGCTGGGTTTACCACGACGCTGTTCCAGCTATTTTAAGTAGAGCACCTTTCAGTGCAATCTGGTGCTATATGTCTGGGTGATAACACTCAAACTACACGCTGTGCCGCCCTCCCGCCTTGGGCAACATCAGCCAGTACATTCTCTTCAAGACTTTCTCGGGGACGCCGGCTTGGCATTCCACCGACGGATTCGTTTCTATCGATTTTGGGATGAAATTCATCTCTTTTTCTGCATCAGATCGACGATGATGCATCAGAGAAACGAGAGAAGGCATCGCTCGGTAAGCATTTTTCATCCCTCAGCCTAGCTGCATTGCAGATCACCACTGCTAGCGGCTGTTGAAGCGGCACAAAAGCAAAGTCCCGTACATGTATGTAACGTTATTCATTACCTTTCGACAGGATGTCCTTCTGACTATAATTAATCCAAATGAAGTGATCGCGATAAGCGCTCATACAGCCAGAAGAAATCGAGATTGACGATGTACTCAAGGCGGTGAAGTTTGCGATTTTGCTACTTATGCTTGGCCAGGCTACGATCCTACTTGTGAACACGAAGGCTCCGGCTTAAGAGCCTCGTGGGGGCTCTTGGGGGCTCGTAGGAGCTAGGCAAAGAGCCTCCCCCGGAAATCGTTTCCTCTACAAGCTGGGGTGGCTTGCCGAGGTGCACCACGGTCTTCGACCCTGGATATCGAGGTCTATTACCATCTGTCCACACTTCTGACTGATAACTAGGCAACACATGTTGTCTTAATCGGCTAGGTTGTGGTACTTTTCTCTACTCCAAGTTGATGGACAGGTTGTTTATGCGATATGTCGTCGATCTAGGTTGTTAGTCGGCCTTTGTTATATTCTCATCAATTTCAGCAGCCAACATATTACCGGAGGATAATGAGCAGTAGTCGGATACCTACCTATATCCTGACGCCACGCTATGAGACCTGCTTTCAACTACGCAGTGACTGTTCCGTCATTCATTGGGCTGGACCCCTTTTGGCACAGAATTGTTCTCTGTTTCCGTGCAGTGCGTAAGCGGTTAGGTGCAGCAAGTGACAAGTTCTCCAACTCAGGAGTGCCAATCTCGACGCGATAGAGGGGTTCGAAGTGCGGTTTGTTGAGGCATTTACCCCAATTTCTAGCCCAGTCGAGAATATCAAATGAAGGTCGGCACTTTCGCATTTTCGCCTTGAAGAAGTTCAGTCTTTTCATCAAAGTTGTGACAACGAATCGATAGAAGAACAGCCTTCCATGGCAAGGGACCTAGAGCGAGAGATGTTACTGATGCCTCTCCCATGATCAAGCCGCCCCTGACCTGGTCCTCTGCAAGTGCTCCAAGCAAGGGGTTTAGGCATGTTCTTACCCGCATGCTGTCCAGAACTGCGTCCGAGTTGAGATACTAGCGCCATAAGCCGCCACGGGTCGCCATGGTTCTGGGACGTCCTCATGATAAACCTGATCCGTCGAAATAAGGCGGCTTGGTCCTCGCCCGATCTTGTGCAGGCAACAAACTAAACTAAGTCTTCGATTACGCATCCTGCAGGCTGACATAGGTTTGCGCCAAAGTTGACTGGGTGCCGATTAGTGAATGATAGGTGGAGGAAGCTTGAAGAACTCACGACATTCGAGCCCGATGAGGCGGCTTGAATATGGAATGAGGCCCAACGGATCCAGTCTATGTATCGACCCTGTTGTCGCTAGGGCAGTGGTATGCGACAGCCATCAAAGCGAGTCTGGACTCAGTCATAAGCCTGACATCTTATTTTAAGATGAATACAAACGCCCTACCATTAGTTCATGATGCTTCTTGGTTTCTCTCTGAGATACTCTCCAGTCATCCTCATCTCTTACCCCTCTTCCCGTTGCGTTTCATATAACCGATATCATGGACTTCCAACCCAAGAAACAATCTTCCAGGCGAGGTTCCGAGACTACCATTCCATCGCGGCACCGATCAAGTGTGCCCTCCCCTTACACCCGACCCCCACCACAGACGGCCTTCCCACAGACACATGCCGGATTTCCAATCAACGACTCATATCCATTGGCTCTGCCGCTCAATCAAGGAAATTCTGGGCAAGGCTTCCCGACTTTTGTCACACCAAGCGCTGTCGAATACTCGGACTCCAGTAGCTATCGCCCTAATCATAACACAGTCACAACGGGGAACCCATACTCGAGCAGTGCCCCGGCAAATAGCATGATGTCCTACCCGCCCGTACTGTCGCAGGCAAATTCCGCCTATGCTGATCGCTCGTCATATGGGGTCCAGGCAACCTCGACACACCAGTCATTTTTGCCGCACCGCAGTCACCCGAATAGCCCTTCAACGTCTTATTCGGGGTTGACAGGTCACTCGTCCGCCGCGAGTTCTTCCGGCTATCCCTATGCCGCCAGTTCTGCGACAACAACCCCTAGCGCAGCGAACACGCCTGTACAGCCCTTGTCACCCACACTTATGGGAGTAGGGAGCTGGGATAATACCAGACAGCCCAGAGAGACCTATCAGCAACCAACTGTTGACCGAAGCAATCGGGAAGGACGTAGGGTTCACGTCACAGATTTCCCACCCAACCCCTCGCGATCTGAATCGACAGAGGTCCATCGATCCAGCAGGTAAGGATCTCTTTCAGTATCCGTCATTACGTGTCCTGATTGATTCCTAGTCCTCCGAGAGAGGGAGACATCCACATAAAGAGGCGCAGCGTTCGACCTTTGGGGTCGTGTAAAGATGACCAAAAGAGCACCAGCTCTCGGCCACGCAAAGACGACGATAAGGACGAGAGAAGGAAACGGACACGGAACGAGCAGAGACGAGAAGGTGGTTCGGACAGACGTGAGACGAAAACTTACTAGTTTGGCATGCAACTTCCAGAATTCTCTCTTCCTTGCTGGGTTTGCAGTCACTCTCAAGGGTTTCCTTTGCGCCCCTAGAGATTTCTTTGTATTCGTTGTGGTAAAAGTGGTGTTGAGATCCAATCAACTTCTGGTTAGGATAAAATTGTTTTCCCTTGCTGTGACTAGCACATGTATCAGGGGGTTCCAAAATGCAATTCTCCCAAGTTCTTTCTCGAAATCGTGGGAAGTTTGGAAACCTTTTTCCACTTCAATCCCCAGATGATATGACGCATCAACATTCGGCTCTAATCATGATTCCTAGCGCTTGGAGGCGAAAAGAAATGAAGCTGTCAGATATTAAGCGACTCCCGGCTAAGCACATGTGTGTGTCCAATAGGGCACCCTTTCCCAGTGAGGCTTCAAGGGCCCATGAGGCCGAAAGTGATTGATTGGACTGAGGCTTGTGAAAAAGTGAGGCGGAGCAGCAAGATACGTCTTCTCCGCCGGGGTAGTTCGAATCGTCCCAACCAAAGATTCTTGCTTTTCTCTGCATAGCCCTTCTTGTGTCATTGGCTCGGAACCTTGCCTACTTACGATGAAGCTTTTTCATACCAGGACACGGAGGTGGGAGCCCAATCAGCGACCCGAACTTGGACTTCGTCTGCATCGCCACCCTTGCTCTTTATACCAAGTTAGTGGGCCTTTCTTCCAAAAGAGACCCTTGCTGCCGAGGCTTCTCACCTTTCCACACAAATATGAACGAACTTGCTCCACCGTATAGCATTTGGCAGGTTTAAATCATGGAAAGCCAACTGGGATGAGTGGCGCGGACCGCCCGATGAAGCCACGTCCAACCCAGTGGGAGCAAGGACACCGGGGTCCAGAGCTTTCCATACCTGACCCCTGGAGAGCATGTTAATAGAGTTTCTGGGGTCCTCTGTCTTCCGCTGGACTCGTCAATCATGTGATCAATAGAACTTGAGCAAAGCACTGCCAATCACTCCAACGTCGCCACAGGTGCGAGGCTGCGGACAGAACATGTCCAATAGTTCCCAGCCCATGCGCAGCTTGAGAAGATGAAACCCTAATTCAAAGACACTTTTACGGAATTTGCGACTTCTGCCATTGAAAGAGATTAGATTGAGCCTGGTAATCTGTATCAACAAGCATTCGGGGGGCGAGCGGACAGAGTACGAGCCCCTATGAGCGTCGTTCATAGGAACCCCTGATCGTCAAAGCAGTAATCTGTACGGAGTACTTCGTAGCAGGACTTATCCGTGCCGTGAACACATGTCCTTCTTTGCTAAGGTTTTGCAGGGGAATTAGCCTCTGCGAAGTTTGCCAAACTCGGTCGAATTATCCGTATTTGCTCTTCACTGATTAGTCGTCCTGTCTTTACAAACATGATATCGACGATTGAAGCTTCCCTGTAATTACCGTATCCGGGAGGGGCACTGAGGGCATGGCGCATGCATCGTCCCCAAGACCGGGAGTCAATTATGGGGCACACAAAATCCGGAGGCCCGGCCCTTGTGGGACAGGACCGGCGTCCAGCCCGTCAAACGTCCACCGGTGCCGATCGGTCTTCCGAAACGATGTGCCATAAGTGCGAGAGCTAGGCTTCAGTATACTATTCCGATTCATCTCGCTCTTCTTCGTAACGAAATTGCAATGCGACAATGTCCAACGGAGCCATCCGTCACTAGTAGCTAACTGCCGGGAATAATGTTCCGTATCGGCAGTGCTCCGCGGGATCGAATAAAGTAAGTAATGAGATTGACACCTACATTGTCTCCCTGGCAATAAGAAGAGTCTAGTCGGCAAGACTTCGATGCTAAGACACCTTGCACAGAGAAGATGGACGGCGTTGAGGGCGCTGTTGAGGCAGCGGCGGCCGAATCACGACACTGGACCCCGCGATGGCGACACACCCCACGCCAAGGGGTAGCGAATCATCAGCGCTTCGCAGCACATCATCAAGCATCGGACCCCGTTGTAACCCACACGACTCCCAGAGTGTTATCTGGGCAGTTCTCCAGTATCCGTGAGATTGTGGCCAACTTGAAACCTCCCTTAGCGTAGCGCGATGGCCAGTTTATCAGGAAGCGAGATACATAAATCAGGTACGGGATCCCCCAAAATTAGAAGACGTTGTGGTTTTGAAAGTTGCGGCTGCTCAATTCACCATCTGTTGAGCTGCTCTCTGTCTTTCCGTTGTAAGTGACTAACCCTACGGATTCACTAGAGCTCTCACCTCTGCTCGGCATGGGGTCAGAGCAGGAATACGCGTCCGCGTCTCCCAAGGGAGTAACGGTGGACGAGTTTTCTTCAGACGGACAAAACTCTGCAGTACTCGAGAAGAAGAAAGCGCCATGGTGGTCTTATATCTGGGACTACGAGCCGGGCCGATCGCAGGAGGAGCGCGTATTCATCCAGAAGCTCGACGTCTTCCTGATAACGATGCTGAGCTTCGGCTACTTTATCAAAAACCTCGACCAGACGAACATCAGCAATGCTTTCGTCAGCGGCATGAAGGAAGATCTCGCAATGAACGGGAACGAGATCAATCTCATCGACACAGCGTGGACCGTCGGCTGCGGCGAGCATGTTCTCGGGCTATTTGCAAGCTGGCGTCTATAAGGGACTCAACGGCGTCCATGGCTTAGCAGGTTGGAAGTGGCTATTTGTAAGCACCCCCTCGATCCCATATGGCGTGCTTTGGTGGAGACGACTCCTGCGAAACCGCGTGCTGACTCGGCCTCCGACTTACAGATCATGGATGGAATCATCAGTCTGCCAATTTGCATTGCTGGATACTTTTTCCTGCCCGATCTCCCGGAGAATACACGAGCATTCTACTTGACTGAGAATGTGAGTGAAACCAACTTCACTAATTTTGAGGGACCGCAGTTATTAACAATCACCTAGGACCGTGAACTTGCCCGCAGGCGGATGGAGAGTGTCGGACGTGCTCCGCGAACCAAATTGGGCCGTTCTGCTTTCAAGCGAATCTTTGGTCGCTGGCACGTCTACTTTCTGACCATTCTGTACATCATCTTCATCAATATTGGGCCTTCCAGCAGTGTGAATCCCTTCTCTCTCTGGCTCAAATCCAAGGGCGAGTCTGTGGAGAAGATTGTAAGTTGACTTTGCTCATGGTTGGTCTATGGTATCACGTAGCTAACATAGGTATCAGAATATCATTCCAACGGCGGCTTCAGCTATTCAACTGGTCCTTACGGTGTCATTCGCCATCCTCTCCGACGCGATCCGCCATCGTGCCAGCGTCATGTCGATATCCACCTTCCTCGGTGGTTTCGCTGCCTTGATCCTCGCCATCTGGAATGTACCAGACGGGTTGAAGTGGTTTGCGTTCCTTCTCCAGCGCGCATCCGTACCGTACGGACCACTCAGCATGAGCTGGACGAACGAGATTTGCGGCGCCGATGCCGAGGAGCGTGCAATTGTCATAGGAATCATGAACTCGCTGGGCTATGCCTTTAATGTCTGGGTTCCGATCCTGACGTACCCTCAAGTTGATTCGCCCAAATTCAAGAAGGGCTTCATTTTCTCGACTATTGCTTTCGGTGCCCAAGCACTGATCACCGCTACGGTGGCCTTCTTGTACAAGCGAGACAAGAAGAAGGAGGGAATCACCAAGAGAGACGAAGAAGGTGTCACGGCGCCGGCCTCAGTTCCTAACGCCGAATAGACTTTTGATCTCTATGGGCCGATAATAGATTGGAAGCATACCACCTGCACCTTCAGCTTAATCTTTGTTCCGATGGACATTGGTCTCTTCTAGTCTCATTGAGATAAAGGTACTTGGCTCACCAGTACCGACATTTCTTATATCACATGCACTTAGCAAGCATCTTTAGACATTTGAGTTTGAGCGTTTTCATCGGCATCTAACTTACTAAGGCGTCTTAATAGAATATCTTAGACACTTCAAGTCTTCTCAAAAGCCCATTCTGAGCACCCAGATTCTTGCTAGAAATAATTGGTGTGACGGGCCAAGGACTTTTAGATTGGATCATCGGACATTCTCATACCATATTGTGACGAAATTTAACTCCCAAGTCAAAGTAGTTTTAGTCGAAAGTGCGTATCACCATGTTTCCTGAGGTGCTCTCGGGTCATACATGCACGATACATATCAACACTTCATAATGAATATGCGTTGAAATTAAGAGGTTTGGTATTGCCTCTTCATCTGAAGAGAATCATGCCCGGCGCAATGTTTCACTGATGAACAAAGCTTGCCGTCTTGATCTGCTTCTCTTATACTTATCTCTTTATATACTCGCAACAGTAACAGCAGAGTTTGCAGCCAAAATTTACACCCCGGGTTTTGTGTACTGCAGCTTGCGTCTGTAGCACATGTTTTCTACCCCCTGAACTATCTGCTGGGTTCTCATATCAAAGGTTCAGGTGAAACGAAAGCAATTCATAGCGTAGGTACCTGATGTGATTCATTCAAACGCGGCTGCAATTGACAATCACCTTGTTTCATCAGTATCACACCTTTCTCATGACTTCAACGTCCAGATTGAACCTTTTTGCACATACCACAATGCTCTATTGAATAGTGCAATGATTTTGCAATAAATTCTCCAAGACTCACGATTTCCAGGGCTTGAGTGGCTACGCCTTTCACCTGGGTAGGGTTACAGCCTCTGCAAGAGCTTCCCAGACATGCCTCGCGAACAGTGCATATGATACGGGACAGAATGATTGCGATGTCTATCATAGGGCTAGGCAAAAGTCATATAGAAGTAGAACACTTTGAATTCTCGAAACTCTGTGTTCAATCTAGACCCAGTTGGGAACACTCGGGATATCATTGTCTTGCATGAGTCCGCTCGTTTGTCTCTTATCATGATGTCACCATCTTATATATGAGACTCGACATTCAAGGGGCTTGTCATCTCACTCAACTTGCTATTGAACAGAGATGACTACCTTAGTTGGGAGGTACCGACTGCCCTCGAATTAGTTAACTTTGTGATGTAATCTTCTTCACGTGTAGCATTGACTGTCCCTTGATAGGCCTCAATCTCCTGGATGGCAATTAAGCCGCCTTTGAGTCAAGGCTAGGGAAGACTGGCAAATGAAACTAGGTTTCCTTTCGGAAAGTTTAGTTTGTTTTTCTTGTGAACGCCACCTCATCAAATTTGTTTAAGGCTTTAATCATTCGCGAGACAAGTCCCGACAAACCTGTTTCGTAGCTCACCTTCTCTTTGCACAAAACTACGGTGCCAATTCAGGGTTCTATTGCCTTTTGTACTCAACGTTTGTCATTCACTTATACTTCAAGTTAGATTGTTGCCTAAGTTAGTAAGCAAGTGAATATCCCAGACGGCTTTTTGAACTCGATGCGTGAGCCTCTGTGGCTCAGCATATTTGGTAGTAGGTTTAGCCGAGACTTGGCTTAGGTTGGTTGAGATCCATCTACCCCATGCTAAATCCGGGAGCCAATCAAGAACGTGATATGCCGCTCCTGAGCACTGTGTCAAGCCATTCTCCGCCGTCATCGCCAACTCATCAGCCACGCCGAGATGACAAAAAAGAATCACATCAGTCCACGGTAGGGGCAACACTGTCCGGAGTCTCCGAATCTTGAATATGACGAGTTCAATACTATCGGGTTACCCCTTTGTCCAGTTGTTAGCAATTTGTTGGATGTCTCGCTTCGAAGCTGTGTGAGAACGCATACCAGACTCCTATTATCTATGGGCCATCGATGCTGCATTCTGAAGGCTCGCCCCGTTACCCCATTGGTACTCCACCCAACCTCGACGCGCTTGGGTCCGGTGGCAAAGCCAAGATCATCAAAATATCTCAAGGTACATATGAAAATCAACGGTCGATCGGATGATGGGAGTGACGAAGAAGCCACCTGCCGCATCGTGACTGGCGAAGGGGGCCCGGGATGGTGTGTTTTCGACCCTTGCATGTCAGATGTCGCGGAGTGCGCTGGGGCTCCTCACAACCAACCGCTCCCACCTTCCCCCACAAACGCTCATCGAACTCCATAAAATTCACTCGTTCAAATTGGACCGATCACCAGGATGTTGGAAGAATGGCCGGTTAATTTGCTGGCTGCACAGTCTAGTCCTCTAGGTCGCAACGTTTTCTGGGGTCACTCCAGGGTCCCGGTCGTAGCGCTGGTGGTGGGTGCGTGAACCCGGTATCATTCGGCATTTTGCCGTTGGTCATGGGCGTGCGGCTCGTCTCCAAATCTGTCGAGAGTCTCCTGGTAGCTCCTCGCATCTTTTCCCCTCATGGAGCTGGGGTAAATTGGGGAACCATGTCTGCCCATGGTGTGGCTCGTTGAAATACCATCGCCTCTGCTGCTCTGTTATCATGGTCTGTTATCGCTTGCTTTTCCAGCTGCAAGTTCCTGCTGCGACCTATTACCGGCATTCGATACAACTTCAGTGTGACGGGAAGGTTATTTAGCCTCCGTCTTGCTGTATTCAAGATTGTCCCTTGAATCCTTCCGCAGAGCTTTCGCTCTACTAGCATCATGCTCGTCACTCAACCCATTCGTCCACGGCCGATCAAGACTCGGTCAAGAGCAGGTTCGTACGATGCTTCTATCACGACAGCTTCGGATCCAGAATTTCTGACATGGACATCGTTGTTATGACAGGGTGCAAATACTGGTGAGTTGATGTCCGAGCTTCACTTTCATCTAATGTTGTGATCGTGAAGAGTAATGGAGGTGCTAACCACGCTTTCTAGCCGTGACAAGGTTGGTCATCTTGACCCATCTTGGATCTGAATCTTTGACCAATACCTCTCTAGAGAAAAAAGTGCTCAGAAGAACGTCCACAATGTCTTCGTTGTGTGCAGGCCGGTATAGTCTGTGTCTACGAGCCTATAAAGAAGAGGAAGAGAAGAATTTCGACCAGGCCAGTTGACACTCAAGACTCTATGGCGTCAGACGACTCAAGTAGCCCGACGGGCGGCAACACGGACTTCCAGACAAGCCCAGATACGAATATTGTCACTCCACCCGATGTCTTACAACTAGGTGTAGAAGAAACTTTGTCCCCAACTTCGGCCGTAGAAAGCAGTTATTCTACTTCGATAAATTCGGCATTTGCATTATCCGAAGACCTCGACGACACAGGCAGCTATGATTTCGGCTATGATGACTCACAACATTTTGAGGACGGGTTCGAGTTGATGGGGGATCTGGGTTGTCAGAAAGCAGCTGAAGCCCACCTCCCGCTCTCTCTTGCGACTTTAGACCAGAGTTATCAGCAGCCAACAGATGGATCCTTTTTCAGCGCCAGTTTCGACGTATCTTGGAATGAGCAATCATGGTCAACTGCATCCCCGCCCTTGCTGGACCTGCTCCCGCCGACCGGTCGTAACATCTTTGATTTACCAGAGAATACCGGCTTGTTAGACCACTACTCCAAGGTCATGCTCCCGACAATGGGGTTTGTAGATGGTGTCGCAAACCCTTTCAGGCAACATATACTTCCCCTTTCGCATAGGAGTTCCGCCGTTCGAAGTGCGATCTACGCGTTGGCCAGCGCACATCGTGAATATAGCGGTCTTGAGACGACGGAGGGATCTGCATGTTTTCATGAAAGAGCCGTGGCTGGTCTGTCTGCGATTATCGAGGATGGAGATGGGTTCGAAGAAGCTCTGGCGACGATCATCTTACTCATTCAGTACGATCTGGTAAGAGAAGTCATGACAGCGGATTGAACTTGACGCATCGACTGACTGGTGGGGTAGGTTCTACAGCGGAGCTCGGACAAAGTGGTGTATAATCATCTTCAAGGCGCCCGCCACATCATTTGTGCCATGCCATCCCCCAAGCCTGCGAGTGTGTTGTTCTTCGACCAGGTAAGCTACCTAGCGTTGCGGAAGTCTGATTGAAGGGATCTTTGACATGGGACAGGTGTTTCGCTACTTTGATGTACTCAATGCCTTGACGAACGGCACGTCTCCTGTCTTCGCAGCTCCCTCAAGTCGAGCCTACTCGCCAAGTACACCGCCACCATTCATCATCCCTGGTGGAATCGATCCAGTGTTGGGAATGGCCGATGATCTTTGGCCCACTCTGCACCGTCTCGCAGAGCTCATGGCGATGAAACGCGAGCTTCAAGCCGCCACAGCGATGGGACAAACATCTAAGTTCGCCGTCCTGCGTACCGAATACCAAACGGCATACAAGGCAATAGAGAAGGCCCTGGAGTCGTGGGGTCCGACACTGCCACCAGGCTTTTCCCTGGTTAACCGTATCGTCGACGGCCCCGAAACCGCATCAGAAGTCGAGCTTGCCAACATCCGGTGGATCACAAGCACGGCACTCGCATACAGACAGAGCGCCCTGGCCTTTCTTTACAGCAACGTTTCGGAATACCCTTCATCACATCGCCTCGTACAGAAACACAGTCAGGCCGCTTTGTGGCACTGTGCGGCGTCAGTGTCTCATGGCGGAGCAGGACTTTCCATGCTGTGGCCGCTCTTCTTCTCTGCTCGTCATGCCATATGCAGCAGGGACCGAGGCTTGGTGCGTCAGGCGTTCACTGCCTTTGGCAGCAAGAAAGGTGTGGTCGACACGGAAAAGCCGTGGGCTGTTGTCATGGACGTGTGGAGAAGGATAGACATGCGAGCATACGGCAAGGAGCAAGTGGGTTCTGAGGCCTGTCCAGACTTGTGGAGGCAAGTTGCGGCAAGCATGAAGTTTGGCCTTGTGTTTGGCTGAATGGGAGTGATTTCATTCGTACGAGAGTCGGCCCGGTGATTTGGGGACGGAGACGGAGACGGACAAGTCTGGGGAGACCCCAGTTCATGACCTTTTCCGGGGCCCTTGTTTTGATAGCTTCGCGGCAAGACGGTCGTTCAAGAAGGCAACATATGTTTTGATAAATGGGGTTGAGCACCGGTCCAAAGGAATACGACCAGCCAACAAAAGGAGTCACATTAGCAGTTTAACATACCACGATCGTTTCTTCTGACTTAGACTCGGTTGCACCCGCAGAATAAAAACGAGTAAATTTCGCATCATGGACTGTTCATCAGCGCTCTGCACTAGCGTTTCTGGCGGAGCCCAACATCCACATCGTCGAGCAAGCTAATGCAGCTCATGATTGCATCCGCTCGTCCACAGGACCAGCAACTCCTTCAGGTGAGTCGACGTGGCTCGACCAATGCCAAACACCACTTTCATGATTGTCCGCCAACCAACGTTGGAGAACAGGGAGCCGCAGGGTACATTTCGACCTTGGTACAGGGTTCTTTTCAGCCTGATTGCCCCTCCGCAGATCCAGGGGACCGGGGGCGGCACGGAGGCCAGCGAAGCTACTTAACAGCTACAGTAACAACGCAGGCGCCTGAGCCTAAAAATTGTAAAGGTAGGTATGGTGTCATCTTAGGTAGCCAGCTGCTGTTTGCTTCCAACGCCGAGACGTTGCGGCAGACTGGGGCGAGATATCTGCATCTGCGAGTGTTTACCGATCTGGGCCTGCAAGCTCTTTAGAGGCGCAGACGTCCTTTCGTTTGATTTTGGCGCACCCTCCATCACATGAAGCCATGCGTGCTGGCTACGCGTTGTAACCTTAGAACGCGGTGCAAATACCGGAAGCGGTATTTAGCCTGCGAGTTTTCGTTTTCGAAACCGAGTAGCGTGACTGTGAGGGTTCTACCCTTTTGGAGTAAACGGTGAGGGGAAGAGAGATGAGGGAAGACGGTCAAGTCACATCTCTCGCTCACCCTTCCTCGCTTCTTGGGTTTAAATTGCAATCGATGCAGACTCTCTGGGTAGGGCTGAGCGCTTACGCGGTGTCTAAGATTGAATTAACGCCCAGATGTGCGGACAGTGTCATGGGTCGCAGAGATGCTTTTGGGATCGAGGATCAACTGTCAATCCGACCTGATGGGTTCGTTTGCTCCGCGTCCTATGAAGAGCAAATGATCCTCGGGAAGTCGTCGCACGCCGCGCACACCGGCCGTCCGTTTTTGTCATATCTCAGCTCAGCATTAGACGGCACAACAGTCGGTGACACCAGTGCATGCGAACAGAAGTACCCAAGCCAACCAGCCGCGCCGGTCTAACCTCCCAGAGCTTGACCTGAGGCTGGACACGCATTTGGGGCGTCATGTGATGGATGCAAACTCGGGCTCGATTTGCGAGCAGGTGGGAGGGCTCTGGCCTACTGACTTGTGCTGACTATGTGGACTTCATGTTGTGTGAATGCCTGGTAGACGGGCGGCCTAGACGTGCGTTTGCTTCTGCACCACCCCACATGGCTGCCGGATCCCGGCCGTTGGTGTTATTTCTCCAACTGTGCGAGACCAGCGGGCGGGGAAACTGGATGTCCTGTTCTCCTAACGAGTGAGGGGTGTTCGATCCAGGATAGAGGGTTAGTATTGCACTCCTCCCTGCGCCATAGCACGTGGCGCAACTTGGAAGTCGGAAAGACTGAGAGTATGGGGATCCTGCATGTCTAAGGAGAAGCACGATCTCTCCGGATGTCTACTGGGCAGAAGATTTGCTCGTGGTTGAAGAGAGAAGAAGGGCAGGAATTGTGTGGCGCTTCTCTCAGTTGCGTGGCCTGCTTCCAGCGAGCGGGTTTGCAGGACGATGATTCGATGAACTCTGGGACTGTGTGGGCTGCTCCGTGGTTGGCTCGGCTCCAATGTCCTCTTGCTTCCATCAGCCACATGTCGGAGGAAGTGCCGGATAGTTTGCCAGGGCCGGTGGGGCCGGGGCCGGGGCCGGGCCGGAAACTGGAATGGGCAGCTTCCCGCTATAGTTGGATGTTGAAGGGCAGCTTGGGAATTTCACTGGAGTCGAATGGCAGTTTCATGAACATGATCTTCACATTCGTTTGTTCCCCAGTACTCTCTGTGCAATGTCTTGAAACTTCATCGCTCGACTGGGAAGTTTGAACCTCTAGGTGGAACTCAGGCCAACAAGTTTCTTGGGAAGCAATAATTGTGGTATTTTGTGGCTGGACTCAAAGTAGTATTTCCTGCTTCATTTCATTGATCAAAATGGGTCTGAACATGTAAGGACTTATTTCCAAGATGAAGTCTGGGTGTCCAACCAAGGCACCATAACATCCACGACGCCCTGCAAGTTCTCAGGGAACAGCGCGTGAGAAGCATCTTCAACAAAGACAACAGTGGACCGGTTGCCCACCAGCCCAGTCGTGTAGTTCCACTGGTCCTCCCTCCTCCACGGGTCCAATGTTGCGATGACGTCCAAGATCTGAGTAGTGTTGCTGCCGATTGTGGTGCTCGTAGGAGCGCCAGTCACGGAGCCCATAGCCTCAGGGAACCAACCCGTCAACCATAGGGAGGCATTGTGTCCGGGAGCAAAGTAACCCAGCTCCAAAGCAGCGAGACGTTCCTCTACGGAGTAAGTATAGTTGCTCGCAATGTTGGCCGTAGCTGCGATGGTGGCATTGGTGTTGATGCCGGTGTTGATGCACGCCAAGACGATCGAAGGCACCTTTTCCGGGTAGGCGGCGGCCATGTTCTTCGCCATACGTTGTCCCGCGGCATGGCCGAGTACCACAGCCTTTCCGTTGCCAAAGGTATCAATGACCGAGACGAGGTCAGCGCCTACCTCGGCCCAAGTGGTAACGATGGGGCCGGTAGATTCGCCCATGCCTCGGGGTTGAGGACGCAAGACGCGGTAGCCCGCGTCAGCGAGGGCGGTCGAAAACTCGTGGAAATCGTCGATGCTGTCCCGGGCATAAGAAGGCCAGACAAGCAGTGACGGGCCATCTCCCTCGACGAGGACCTGGATGGTGTTGTTTGATGATCCAGTGAGGTATTTTGTGGTGTATCCGGCGGATGCCAGGCCCAGCAGAGCGGAGGAAGCAAGAAGAATATTGATATACATCGTGATACAGCCTCCTTTTTCTTCCAGACAAGCTTATAAGATTCGACTTTTGAACGAATGACAGAATCTTTGCCGAATGTACGGCTATAGTCAAGAGAATGTTGAGTGACTGATGAATGATGTGGTGCAGGAGGTTCTGCAGCGGACGATCAGAGGCATGATATATACAGAAACAGAATCCATAGTGCCGCCTCCCACTTCACCGGGAGTTGAAAAGCTTCAGTCGGGACCCCTGAGCTTTCTTACGACTATTATCCGTTCTGCACCGCAAATCCCACAGATTAGAGTTTACAGACTTCTTGGCGTTTAAACATGGTGGCGGTACTACCGATCTGTGCGACGTCGGCATCTTGAATGCGTAGCACCTTAAAAAACGAAAACCTCCTTAATCTACCAAAGATCGTGTCTTCTCGGACATGCCATTGTTACGCAGTAAGTGGCGCACACCGAGTGGTACATGTTAGTTTCGAATGCTTCATTATCGGGTTCGAAAGGTTCGGTAATGTCACCACAACTTAACTTCATATCGCAATCCCCCGAATCACTCTGAAGTAGTTTCAATTGATACTTATTCTGAAGCTAGTAGCAAGCGATAGTATCGAAGGAGCCCGAAGCTGACAATTTTCATTGATATATCGGCAAATGCATCCCAAAGACGTTCTCAACGAATAACTCACAACTATGAAGGCTGCATTTGGGGATCGAAAACACTCAAAACTCCGTCAACTTATGAATAGCGATTGAAAGGTCAGCAGCCAGTTCATCCCAGCATATCAAGTACTCTAGTCATCAAAAGCCCGGCCGCCAAGACCTGAGAAGCCGGTATAGCGCCCCTTTCCGTTCAATTATTCTCCCACATACCGGGACGGGATTGATTGAGTTTCTCTATGCATTCATTTCGAGCATGGCCATTGCGGCGGGCGGCCGGTAGGCCACGCCATCCCGCGGAGGTTTAAACTTCAAATACACGTATTTGCCCCGTGCCGCCCGGAGACACGAGTCGTGCTCTCAACGGACAGTATATAAAACACTGCTCGTATGCTGTCAGTAACACCGCTAAGTTAGAAATGCGGACAGAAAGGAATTTTCAAGGTCGGATCACTGGCAATGGCTGACATATAGTTAGCACTCGCCTCTCTCAGCTCAGGTCCTTGATTCCGAGCCGAACAAGATTATAAGTCCCATGGTTTCTCTTCGTTGAGAGTGTTGATAAACTTTCGACACAAATTCATTTGATGTACAACAACTATTCATTCTTATTTCAACATCTCGTTTAGTTGTCGCTTGGTGGTTCAGTACTTGACTGAAATTCTAAACTGATGAAGATAAGCAGTATGAGCGTCTAAGGAAGTCAAATTTGCCGCTTTTGAATCATCATCCAGTAATAGGTTTAAGACTCACACCTCTACAGTCTAGAAGGGGGGGGGGGGGGGTTCGATGCAATAAATGTGTTGACGGTAGTAAAGGTGGACTTGGAAGTTGGCATGAGCATCACTTCCACCCACTGCACCTATTTTTCACTGGGAAGGAATCGATGGGCTCCACCCATTTCTCGTTCCTTCCAAAAGCCGACGCACTACCAATGAAAAGGTTACTGAGTTTCGTACATATCGAAAGGTTGCCCCGATGATGTCTATAATTACAAAGTCCTATCATCAGAGGAGTATGAATTCCGGAAGCGAGCGTGCTCCAGTGATCAAACATCCATGGCTCAAGAAATCCTACCATACTAATTGAAGTCATCCGCACAGGCAAACTTGCAAAGTTCTAGGTGCAGAAAACCTTGAGCCTGGGCTACGTCTTCGATTTAGATACGTTGATTACCTTACCTTGCTAAGAATACCTTGCTTGTA